AACTTGAGCACAAGATGTGCAGGTAAAAGGATCCTACCTATGGCTTAAAATAATTTTCCAGTATGTAATGCTTTTTATCCTAGTGGACCATGTTGGATCATGGTTTCCACATGATCAATCAGGTCGATTAGGTCCACCTACTAAGTTGATTGAAGTTTGAAATCATATCGTCATATGTCGATGACAAATTGTTGATTGGGTACAGCATAAAGACCAGTGAGACTCTAATTGCTAAGAGCCATACCCTAAGTATAGAGCATTGTCCCAACTTCAAAGCAAAGAAGAAGCTAATTCTAAGCATCCTTATAAGGAGAGTAGTCGATTGTCTTGTATGCGTACAATAATCGATATATCATTTGCAGTAGGACATATGAGATGACTATCTGGGATGAGTCAAGAGGATTCTCAGACATTTGATTCTGACCACACTTTATGTATTATGCTATGACAACACTGACTCTCACCTATAGAGATATTTAGATATTGATTTCACCGACAACCTAGATAGGCAAGCATTAATGTCTGGTTATGCTCTTTTACTAAATGTTAGGGCCATTTCTTAGAGTAGTAAGAAGCAATAGCATATAGCCATTTTTCCTCTTCTAGCGAATATGTGGCGATATACATAATAGTATTGGATGTAGTCGAGTTATTCAGATTCTTAGCGAATTTTACTGTAGTGTGACACGTAGATAATGATGTGATCCTCTATCATGATAGCATGTTTATGTTATACAATAGGCCCAAATTAGTTTTGCGAAATCAAAAAATATTTAGATCATGTACTATTTCACTGAGAACGAAGGAAACGAGATTATGCTAAGTGCATCCCTATTAGTCAGTTGATTGAGGATCTATTGATAAAGGGAATAACTGAGGAACGGCTGTTACAGCACATTTGAGTCTTATGGGCTACGTCTTTAATGATAATTTTTTTACTTGAGACCTTAAACACTTAGGTTATTACGAAGGATGTCATTATAAGATTAAATTTGATTTGATTTTCTTTTTCTCATATGTATGCATATCTAGGATGACTTATGTCTTATTATCACTTGATTATCGCAGTATAGAGTATATGAGTATATGATATGTACATGGTATACAAAGGGCACTGGGTGCACTATTTTAAACTTATATAAGCAAGTGGGAGCTCTTATCACACAAGAGAACTCCTTCGAAGCTGTGGCAATTGTCAAAGCTGAGACTGAGTGTCAGATATAATTTAATTTGGAGCAATGACTACATATCGTGTTACTGGGTAAGGCGATGTAGGAGCACTCTATTGATCACCCTAACTGGGTCAAGATGAGGTTGTTGTATATGTATATGTTGAAGCGAACAAAATGGAAACCCCATGTCCACTGCGATCAAAATGGAAACTCCATGTCCATTTTACCTATTTTCTAACAGCCAGACTAGAGGTCTGACTTGGTGCACGAGATGCGGGCTTATCAAGAGATATCAGACAAATGAAGGGGTAGTATGGTCGGATAAGTTCATTACAAGGTAATGGAACTTGGGTATGTATGTTATTCATTTAATGATGTATGATCTCAGGAAGAGAGAAGTAATATCGTACCATGTTGCCCTACGACGTGCGGTTGGGCCGAATAAGGAGGTCAAGGAATAAATTCCTGCTCTCTCATTGTGTGAGCCTTTATAGATGACCACCAGTGATAGAGGATAGTCACTGTACCCTTATAGACACTGGGCTGTCTAGGAAGGCTGTTATGAGCATCTGCTACTTTGGCTAGAGTTTCGTGTTATGATGAGATAATACCGCACATATGGGGTAGTGACATGTAAGAAAGTGATTAACACACTCAACTATTTAGGGTCAGAGGAAGATCAATTGACATGTCTCCTGATTGCATCGCAAGCACAACTCTTATTCAAGCTGGTTTCAAGGTTTAAGGGCGCGATGAATCGAGGGCAGACCCAGGTGTTCATGCACACTTCTTTGAGGGATTGAAGGTACTTGAGTAGACATGGTTGATCAGATCTTGTGCACAAGCTATAGTATCCTTACACTTATGTTTGCGTATTTTAATTTCTTTTAGGAGATCCTTATGTTGGTCCTAACAAATCTAGCTACAAGGCTACCTGCTTGCAGGTTCTCAATGATCCATGCCACACTAACGTTGTACATACATATTATTGTTAAGGAAGGAGAATCTCAGTCAGATTTTGACTTCGGGGGTCAACGTCTCAGGGAGCGATAGACGACACCCACGCATTTGTGCGAGTGAGAGTATGTTAGCAATTAGTGGTGTTCGCCTAATTGAGGGGGTGGATCCTAAGTGGGTTGAAACCAGTTCTTTAGTGAGCTGATTCCTAATCCTGAGGAGTTAAAGTTTTATCCTCTGCTCTATACATATGCACTTATGTAGAGATTAAAGAAAAAGAAAAATATACTTATGTCATCTTCTTCCTCTTCATCAGTTCTGTAATTTATGCGTTAGTTGCAGGGTGATATGCGGGAGCTTCTCGCTATATATCAGTGTGGTCACCCTCCGGCCATTGTCTGAAGATCAAGGTTAGATGCGCGGGGATCCTTTCAAAAGATATTGGAAAGGTAAAATTTAAACAAGAGAATTATGTATTTGTATGTATGCATGCTTAGTTTAAAATTTAAACAAGAGAATTATGTATTTGTATGTATGCATGCTTAGTTTACATCTATTATTAAATCTATTGTTGAAATCCCGTCTACTTTACTCAAGACCTTGGAGGGATTAAAGTGGGGCCCAAGCCTTCATGTAGTTGCGAAGCCAGAAATTTAATCTTAGAGGACGAGATACATACATGTTGTATTATTTTTTCACCGTGTTGGTCCTCTAATGTTTGAGAGAATATCTTACAAGAATTGAAAAATGAAAATGTCTGCGCTAAATGATTGTTATCTCTTTTATTGAAGAAAGATTAAATAGATTTCCTAAGTTCTTGGTGATTCTCTATTATCTGAAATAAAAAAACAAATAATCAAATGTCAATTATAGAATTATTAAATGGAAAAAACTTTATAAACTAATCAAAAAATTTAGAGGATAGACAAAGATAGAACTTAAGAGTATAACCCAAGAAGATTTGAACGATGATGAAACTTTAAATAATATACAATAAATGTAGAAATCAAAAGAATGTCCTAACAATGGCACATAGAAATTATGGTTTTCATTAGTTATTTTTTAGTATAAATTTATAACTCCTCGAGGTCCCTAATATTCTACTTTCCAATTTGCACACCTCGAGTTGCGAAATCGTGTAGCTCTGGCTCCATTTGGATACTACGGTGTTTTACTTGTTTCCATGGTGTTTTTGCCAAAAACTAGACACCGTGTGTTTGGAAATCATTATGTTTTCTGAGCTAAATCATCATCAAACAAAAAACACAATACTTATTTTAAAACACCTTTTAGTTATTTTAAGCTTAGTGTTATGATTTTGAGTTTGAGAAGATGTTAATATAATATCTAACATAATATATTAAATGTAATAAATATATAGTTATATCAATATACTTATTATATTATATAATACTATACTATATAACAGTTAATCTAATATACTACTAATATTTATTAAATAATATAAATATATAATAATTAAAATATCTTATATAATAATATAATAATAAGATTATAATAATATATTTTATAGTAAATGTAATATAATATATAAAATATTAATATATTCTGTAATAAATAATATAATATAGTATAATTAAAATAATTTTTAATACTAAATAATTTATTGATAACAAATATTAAGGTACAACTATATTCATATATATTAATAATATTTATTTTATATCATAATTTATTAAGATAATTATTATAGTATTATTAATAAAGTCTTAACATATTAGAACTAATAATTATTCTAAGTAATATAAAATATTTGGATGAATATATTTAATTTTATTAACAATAGACAGTAACAACATTAATATTGAATATTATTGGATAATGTTAGTATTATATTAATACTAGTATAAAATATTATATTATGAATAAAATAGATGTGTATTTTAAAAACAATAATAATTAACTATACCAAAATAATTAAATATATAATTATTTGAAAATATATATGTAATAATATAATATATATAATAATGTATAATATAATATAAGCTGATTAAAGTATAATATAATATTATAATACATTATACAATATTATATGGTATTATATTTAATACTTACAATACTATAATAATATAAGCTAAATATTATAATGTTTTATTTATAATATATTTTATTATAATTAATATATAATATATTAATAATATGTTTAATACTAATGTTGTAATGGGTCAAACTTGTGTTGAACAAAATCACTCAACATAGTGTTTTGAAAACACTTTTAACGGAAAAACACAACCCCATAGTGTTTTCTAACAAAAACACAATAAGGGAAACACTATGATATCCAAATCATTATGTTTCCCGGTCGATTTGTTTGCTTAAGTAAAGCTCCTTAGTTTGTTAATTTTATCAAAATCATTATTTTCAAAGCTAAACCTATCCAAGTCATTATGTTTCAAGACCAAAACTGAGAAGGCCATGTCGATCCCAAGTGCCTTTGAATTTGATCCCTCAATGAACAAAATAATGAACAAAATATCTCTCGATCAATATTTTCCTGAACAAGATGAATTTTAAGGTAAGATATAAACCGAGAGATATTTTGATCATTAAGGGATCAAATATAAATCCCGTAGGATATGAGGGAATCATGAGCAACTAACCCTTGTTAATGTCCTTGTCTTGATTTGTAAGGAGTGCTTGAGCTTGGCTGCACTGGTAACAAAATGACTCCAAAACTAAAATACTGCAATGCACAAAAAATACCCGAACGTAGTACGTTTTCACGAGAAAAATACATGAGAAAAATAAAACGCGGTGATGAGGGTATTTCAGTAATAACAACTTCTCCCCCCATCCCATTTTTATTCCCTCCCTCCGCTCTTCGTTTCAATCAAAACGTCTCTCGCTTTTAGAAAGAGATCCTTCATCATCGCTGATGGAGAATCTTGCTCTAATCTCCCCAAAGTTTCCAATTGCAATCGGATCTTTAAACCAACGACGGCTGAGCCAACGCAGGGCTGTTTCTTCTGAACTCGGAGGTAGCGGTGGGGATTTGCTTAAATCAGCTGGTATCCTTGCTTGCATGCTTCTGTTAAATTTTCGACAATTTCAATTTCCATATTTCTAACCTATATTTTTATTCGATTCATGATGACGTTGAGTGGATTGCTCGTCATGAAGTAGCTTTAAGTTTTTAGATAAATTTATTTTTAAGTAAGCTAAGTATAACATTACTTAATGCGTATTAGTCCTTTACAAGTTGCAAATTACATAGCAAACCCCGTACAATAAAATTCATTCTGATGAAAGTCAGTTGTTGGTTAATTTAACATAACAACTCCAGAACTTTTGGAGGTTCAGATAACCCACATAACTTTGGGTTCACATAATCCCCTTGAACTTTGTTTATCTCACATAACCCTCTAAACTTGGGGCGGTCTCACAAAGCCCCTGGAACTTTGAGCTTTTTTTCACCGGACCCCTACCTGTAATTTGCAAATAGCTAAAATGTTCTTGCGAGAAAGTTCCAAATTTTGTCGTATGTATTTACAAGCTACAAAATCCTCCCCTTATATTTGGGTTTTTTTCTCTTAAGAAAATTTTATTTATTTGCAAATTGCTTGCAAGGGCAGGGGCGGATGCACACGTAATCCTTATTATTCAATTTGTGTGTGAGTGTGTTTTATTTATTTATTTATTTAATTTTTTTTTTGGGTGGGGGGAGCGAATTGTACCCTTAAGATTATGAAAAATTACATTATAAGCCTTCTACATTTACAGTTTGCCCCTAATAATTTTAAGATATTAGAATCCCATTTGAGTTTTAGCGCACAAAAAATTGTCAATTCAATCCATTTGTCAAGAATGTAATTTTATAAAATTATATTTTAATTTTTTGATAAATAGATACTTATTGTCCATCCTCTTAGAAAGCTTTTTGGGATCCGCCATTCCGTAAGCGGGTACAGTGAAAAGTTCAAAGTTCAAGGGGGATTTGCGGGATATGCCAAGGGTCAGGGGGCCTTATGTGATGTAAAAAAATTTCAAGAGGTTAGGTGAAAAACCCTCCTTACTTGGGGGTTTTGAAATTAACCTTTACTTGTTCTATGGAATTCTTGTTGAAGCTTATCAATAAGAAAAACACATTCGACTTTGATATAAAAATATCAATTCAATTTCTACCTATTTATAATGACATGTTCTCATGGATACCAAAAGATAAGCAAGATTTTGATGGTTGCATCTGAAACAACCAAAAAATAGATGGGCTCGAAGTTTATTGTCCTTCCTATGAAGGAGATGAAAAAAGACAGTTAAAGTAGTATACAGTGTTTTTTAGACAACAAATTTTGTGTCCAAAACTGAGTTTGCACACTATAGTGTAGAAAGGTGAAAACCACCTGTATGATTTAATTCTTAGATTGCTTAAAGTTGCGGGGATTTATGGGCTGTATACATTGTCTCTATTTGTTTTTTGGGGTTTTCGGTAGTAGTACCTCAAAATCTTTAATATTTTGTAATTAGTCCCTCCAATCATTGAAATATCTATTAGGTCCCCAATTCTTATAACTTGCTATTGCTACTCTTGATCGGAGAGATTAATTTGGAGCAATTTGTAAGAATTAGCGAACCGAATTGCAATTTCATTCAGACCATTAGTTTTAAAATATTACAATTTAAGGAACTAATTTCAGAAAAACCTTCTTTTATATGCAGTTCCTGCAAAGTTCGAGATGCAGAGCTTTGCAAGCATTTCATCATCCACAATAAATTCCACTCCTCCAAGCCATGTTTCATACCCAATTTCCTACATGTAAACGTACCCATTCTGATTTCAGTGATTTTTGTTCTCTCTTTCGTTCATGTTGCAATTTAATATAATAATTGTCTTTTTTTTTCTTTTGTCAATTTTGTTATATTGTCCGTGTAAAATAATATAATTTCGTTCATTTTACTGGAAATGTTACAGAGGCTCTCCTATGCTGTGGATCGGAGTTGGAGTTGGACTATCGGCATTGTTCTCTGTGGTGAGATGCCTGTTGGTTATCTAGACTTGTTCCCTAAGGTGAGCTGCCTAATTTCATGTTGTCTCTGACAAAGTTGTTGACTTAATAGGTGGCAACAAAATTAAAGGTGAGTCATACTGCCTAATCACCGTTTTCAAGGTATGCTATGTTCATGACTACTTTAATTGATGATACTGGAAGTCATTCAAATAGTTTGCAAAATCTTTCCTGGTTTAAGGCTTGAAAAGATTCTTGAATATAAGCGTCTCTTTTACACTAGCCGGCCGGTAAAATTTCTCTCCAAAAATATTCTTCTGCGTGTATTGTTCAAGGACCGCATGAATGAAAGCAAGTTATTTCAGGTTGATGTAGCTTGGTCCATGTGGATTTTACCTTGTGCAGATTATGTGCACAGTAAAATATGCTTCCATTGGAATGTTGCGAGTGAAAATGCTACGTGCATCTGAATATGAACTTCAACATAAATTGCAACATTGTGCATATCACAGTGCTTACAAAAAAATTCACTATTAGGAGCATGCAATCATATATATCTAGTTACACCTGTATGCCCACTATTAGCTCAGCTACTAAATTTCTCTTCTTTCTTTAGAAAACAGGTATAGTTTACTATTGAAAAATACATTTTAATCATCTCATATATGATAATATGAAAGTAATAATAACTAAAATTTATCATGACATTCTTCACTGTTCCCAGGAATGAGTTGACTAGGAAATGTTATCTTTCCATTTAGTGATTTTAGCATGTTAGTTTTGACTCTTTCACATTTAATATCCAATTCTTAATTCATTGGCTTGTATACCCTGTATGGGAATCTGTCTATTAACTTGATCAAATATGAGTATAATATTAAAAAAATTCAACTTCCTGACCTTAATCTTATAGGTCATCTTTAAAGAGAATTCTAGTCATATAAACATTTTAGCAATATGAAGCACCCACAAAATGTATGTCTCAGCATTGTATAACCAAGCAGCCTATCCTTGCCCCGGCCTTTTGTTTTCTACTAACCTCAGTGATGCTCTAATATTTGTTATGATTTTCTCTACCTCCATGAAACAAATTTGAAGCAGTTTGATCATGATGACGGTACATGGTTAGAGCATCAACTATATAGTTCACCACAAATGTTGAAACTTAGGTAACAGGTTACACTTCGCGGTGACCATACAATGGTTTATTGTGAATCTGAATAGTAGCCAATGAGAAAACTTTTCAAATCCTTGGCCTATCATATTGCCTTTAATTAAATTCGATTTATCAGTGGTGACACTGATGATGCCAGTATCTGTTAACTGCTATAAGTATCTCCATCAAAGATGGAGTCATTTCATTTTTTCTGCACTTTTGACATTTTTCTCACTTATTCTTTGTCATTCCAGCAAACTTCTTATCAAACTGTTGCTTCTTGCTTTCTAGGTCATGTTCCCTTGATCTTCTGGATAGACCACCTGTTTGTTGTAGATAGACCCTAACCGATTTTTTTGACTCTTTTACCGGTAGAGAAAGAGAAATCTTTTTTTTTTTTGACAAATAGACCTCCTGAAGGTAAAATAGTCAAAAAATTCACTCAGGATGTCTATCTGCGACAATAGAGCACGAGAAAAGGGGGGTTGGGGGGAGGGGGGTTTATCCGCAATTGGATGATGGTAGGGGGGTCTATCTCTAATTAACCCATTTAAATAACTGGGTAAATTGCATTTATCCCTCGCTCCCTCCCAATGTTTCAAAGAGTTGCATTTATCCTGCCTGAACTTTTTTTTCCTCCTCACTTTTCCCTAGAAGGTTTCAATTGTTGCATTTATCTTTGCCAGGACTTACCTAGGATGAAATTACCTCTAGATTTGTTTCATTTATTTCTCTTATTTTCCTCTCATTAGAATTTATTTATTTTCTAATATTTTCAAATTGAAAATTTTCAAACACTTTAACTATCATTTTTTCTCCTTTTCAAAATTTTGTGTTGTGGGTACAATCCATATATACTAAAATTTGCAGAAATTGACATGAAAAAAAAAATGAAATTCTTGCCTTTTCAAATTTTAGTTGTACTCCAGTATTAAATTTTTGCTGTGATTATCTCTATTGAATAAACAAAGATAAATTCTACACACTTAAAAATTCTACACACTTTCTTTATCTTCAATAAAAAATTGTCACTGTGGAAAATATATCACTGTCATTTTAAGTCTTGCTACGACAAAAATTAGTGTTGGGGGGAAGTTATGAGAAAAATAACTTCGGGGGATAAATGCCACTTACGAATTTATTGATTTAATTCATATTTTATTGATGTAATTCATATTTTATTGATTTAATGCACTTATTCAAGGATAGTTTCTTGCATGCTATAAATTCATCCTCTATACATAGATGAAGAAGCATATATAAGAAGATGCATGTATAATAACTACCAAGACTGATATTCAAGGGATTTGCAGCTTATAATTTTACAGCGTGATTAATGTTTTCAGAGGCAGGCAATACTGCATGCCTTCAAGACTGTCATGGGTCCAGATTCATCACAAAATGGTGAATTCAATACTGACGCCTTTTCTCCAGGCTCACCATTTCCATTTCACGCGTCATCAACTTCACCTCCAATTACCTCATTTCAAACACCTGTTGTTCCTGAAAAATCTGTAAGGGGAGATGATCCTGCAACCAAAGTTGAAGCACTTCCTCCTGCTGATGTCAAAAGTAAAACTGAACAAGTGAAGGATGTGTCAAACGGTACTGAAACCTCTCCAGTTTTCCAGCCAAATTTGCACATTTCATCGTGTTTAATTTCAATTCTATAGCATTTTGGTTTTAATAATGAATGTGGCAATTGATTTCCAATTTTATTTCCAGAATCAAACACTCTTCATTCAAAGGAAACTCCAACTGATTCTTAACCGCCTCAAGCTGTGGACGCACCTGAAAATAAAGCTAAAGTACACCACTTGCTGCGCCAACAATAGAAATTGAAGCAATTATATCTACTACTGTCAAGGATACTTTATACCAAACAAAGGAAAAGCTGTTGCTGACTTTTATGGTTGTTTATTTCATATTACGGTTTTTTTAATTTCATTAATATGAAAAGAATTATGATGTGAAGAAAACCAGAAAAAACCAGTTTTTCTGTCATAAGTCGAATCATGCACAGGCATAAGTCAACTTATGGTAAGTCGCTTGTGTCTGTGCACGAGTTGACTTACATTCTGCTCTGGAGTTGTGATTTTTCGCTCTGTCAAGTCGACTTGTGAAGTCTGTTAAGTCGACTTACGAACTGTTCTCCAGTTATTGTTTTTCTCTCTGGCAAGTCGACTTATGGCACCTGTTAAGTCGACTTATGATGGGTTTTTTGCACAGTTCGGTTTCCTGTTTGGATTCTGTTTGGGTTTATGTTTGTATATAAATAGGGACACGATTTTTTAGGATAAAACAAACAGAGATTTGAGAGATTCAGAGAGGCTATTGAGCATTGTGAGAGAGAGATATTGTGAGCAAGTTGAGAGCTTTGGTTGAGGGTTAGTTTGAGTGATTTTATGTGATTGTAACCCTTTTGTACTCTCCTTGATTTAGTGGAATCTCCCCATCCTCTCCCCGTGGACGTAGGCAAATCGCCGAACCACGTATATCTCTTTGTTTGGTTGGATTTTTCGTATTTGGATTGGATTGTGCTTGTGTGTGGTTCTTCTTCTCCATGATCACAGACTCGTTGTGTGTGCGTGCACTCTTCCGCATAGGCGCGTGACAAGTGGTATCAGAGATCAGATTTTAGATCTAGGGTTTTGGATTAGGTAGAGGAAGATTCAGTTGGAAGCTTGGTTCTTGGAGTTCTAGGCTTCGGTGGAGTTAGGGTTTGAAGTTGCCGTTGAAGAACTCGCTTTCCTCGTGCGGTTAGGAGTTCTATTTGGAATCTAATTTAGGATTCAGTTGGGTAACTTCTAAATTCTATAAAGTTTGAATATTTCTTTGCAATTGGAGTTTGTGATTATGGGTGAAGAAGTTGGTGAAAGCAGCAAGATGGCGGGTACAATTCAAGTTGGTTTTCAGAACACTAAGATTAGTGTGGTGAAATATGACGGTAAAATTAATTTTGGTTTGTGGATGAGCGACGTGCAGGATGCGCTTAATGCTTAAAATTTAGAGTAGACCATTATGATCGATAAGAGGCCACCTAAATATGAAGAGGTGATATGAGAAAAGATGAATAGGAATGCTTGTGGGGTGATCAGGTCTTGTTTTGAACAGGAGCTAAAATATGATGTGATTGAGGTGACGTCTGCAATGAAGATGTGAGAAATTCTCAACAATAAGTACCTTACGGAGAGTGTTGAGAACCGTTTGCACTTGCTGCGAAGATTATTCAGATTTTAGATGTCCAAAGGCACCTCGTTTGCGGCTCATGTGAACAACTACACTAAGTTGTTATCGGACTTGGCGAACGTGGATGAGAAGATCATGGATGAGCACAATGTTATTATTCTTTTGGGCTCCTTACCGGATGAGGAGTATGATACCTTCATGCTTACTTTATTGAACGAGAGATCTTCTATCACTTATAGTGAAGTGACTAACGCATTGATGAACTAAGATTTGAGGAGGAAGGCTAAGAAGACTTCCCGCGCTAGTACTTTAGGAAAGGTCTTGTCGACGAGAGTTAGAAGCCCATATCCAAAAGGTGGAAATAAAGGAGGTCAAAGTCAAGAGGTCACCACCAGCTAGGAAAGAACCAATGTGCATTCTGTAAGGAACAAGGGCATTGGAAAAGAGATTGTCCAAAGGTCAAAGAGAAGGAGAATAGCAAGAAAAAAGGTCTGAAGGCCAATGAGGTGAATGTTGCGAAAGGCGATGATTCCGATGATTCGAACTTTTCTCTTTTGATTACTCCGGAGGTGAACTATTTGGATGTATCGGATTGGATGCTTGATTCTGGCGTTACTTATCATGTGACCCCTAGGCGAGATTGGTTTGCATCATTTGAGAGACTTGATGGGGGTGTTGTTGTCATGAGAAATGATCAATCATGTGGCATTTGTGGGATAGGTACCGTGCGGATTTGGATGCATGATGGAGTAGTCCGAAAATTGAAGGAGGTGAGATTCGTTCCTCAGCTAAAAAATAATCTTATTTCTGTTGGAGCTTTGGAGGCGAAGGGATTCAATGTGACATTTGAGGACGCTGTAGCAAATGTTACTAAGGGATCTTTAGTGGTGATGAAGGTAGTCCGCAATCGAAACTTATATTATCTGAAGGGGAGCACCGAGGTTGGCCAGATTGCTTCAGCTATTTCAGAGGCGGACATGAGCAGACTTTGGCACTACAGGTTAGGACACACAGGAGAGAAGTCACTGCAGGCTTTGTGTAAGCAGGGCTATTGAAAGGAGCCAAGAGTGAAAACGTGGACTTTTGTGAGCACTGTGTTCTTGGCAAGAAAACGAAGGTGAAGTTCGGGACTTCTATTCATAGCACGAGGGGCATCCTGGACTACGTGCACACAGATGTTTGGGATCCCACCAAGACGGCATCACTTGGTGGTCGACATTAGTTCGTCACGTTTGTTGATGACTATTCTAGGTGTTGTTGGGTAGACACCATGAAACATAAGTATGAAGTCCTAGATTTGTTTATGGAGTGGAAGAAGAGATTAGAACTGCAGAATGGGAGAAAGATCAAGACGTTGTGATCTGATAACGACGACGAGTACACTTCAAACACCTTTTAACAGCTATGTCGAGACGAGGGCATAGAGAAGCACTTCACAGTTAGTCATACACCGCATCAGAATAGGATGGCAGAGAGGCTGAATCGGTCTTTACTGGAGAAGGTCCGATGCTTATTGGCGCATAGTAGTTTGGAGAAGTTCTTTTGGGTTGAGGCATTTTTATATGCGAGCCACCTCATTAATAGGCTTCTTTCATCTGCGATTGAGGGAAAAACCCATATGGAGATGTGGTCGGGAAAGACAGCACATGACTATGACCAGCTCAAGGTATTTGGTTGCCCTGCATATTATCATGTTAGAACTGATATGACCAGCTCAAGGTATTTGGTTGCCCTGCATATTATCATGTTAGAACTGATAAGTTGGAACCTCGAGCTAGGAAGGCCATATTTATAGGATTTAAGCGTGATGTCAAGGGATACAAGCTTTGGGATCTAGTTGATAAGAAGATTGTACTGAGTAGGGACATCACATTCGATGAGATTTCTATCTTGAAGCTTCCCGGCTCTCATTAGGTGGAGAACGACCCGGCAGAGGAGATATCACAGGTGGTGGAGATCGATGCAGCTCAAAAGTATCCAGATGGTGCAGTATCCATTAGAGTGCCGACTGAGGTGGCGTCAGACGAGCACGACGATGACACGGAGGATATAGGTACTGATGTGCAGGATCAGGGACCGACGACTTAGGTTTAGGATTCTATTGCTGTTCGAAAAAGGAGGAGAGACATACGGATGCCAGCACGGTATGCCGACACAGTTGTGTATGCACTTCTGGTGGAGATTATCAATGAGATGATACCTACTACTTTCAGAGAGGCCGAGCAGAGTTCGGAGGCTGATTCATGACAGGTAGCTATGCAAGAGGAGATTGAGCATCTTCATAAGAATGATACATGAGAGCTTGTTGAGCTTCCAAAGGGGCGGAAGGCGATTGGTTGCAAGTGGGTATACACGAAGAATGAGTGCATTGAATGCACTCCAGTGAGGTTGAAGGCTAGGTTGGTTGTGAAGAGCTATGCATAGGAGGAAGGTATTGATTATAATAAGGTTTTCTCTCCGGTGGTGAAACATTCTTCGATTCGGATTTTGCTAGCTTTGGTGGTACAATATGGATTATAATTAGATCAGTTGGATGTGAAGACGATATTTCTTCATGGTGATCTTGATGAAGAAATATATATGACTCAGCCATTGGGATTCCGAGCTACATGGAAAGAAAAATTGGTTTGCAGATTGAAGAAATCGCTATACGATTTTATACAGTCTCATCGACAGTGGTATAGGCGATTTGATGGTTTTATGCTTGGTCATTCGTACACTCGGATCCAGTTTGTTCTTGCGTGTATTTTCACATGTTGAGAGGAGGTACGTACATTTATTTGTTGTTTTATGTCGATGACATGTTGGTTGCCTCTATTTCCAGGTCAGCTATAGATTAGTTGAAAGTTCAGCTTTCAAATGAGTTTGAGATGAAGGACTTGGGCGAGGCGAAGCGTATTTTAGGAATGGAGATTGGTAGAGACAAGAAGAAGGGCAAAATTTGTTTGACACGGGTGGCTTATTTGAAGCTTTCAACTGGTGGTGTACCTTTGGTAGAGACAAGAAGAAGGACAAGAAGAAGGGTAGAATTGTAGGGCGAGGCGAGACGAAGCCAGTTGGTGTACCTTTGGGAGCCCATTTGAAGCTTTCAGCTGGTCTTTTACTGAAAGTCAGTTGAAGATCGAGAGTTGATGTCGAAGACTCCTGATAAACATGAATATTATCTATATTTTGACTATGTTTCACATACGGATTCATTGTTATTTGATGTATTTCCTTGCATTTTAGCCATGTTAAGCTCCCTAGTTCTTGTTTACTGCTCTATTTATATATTGTGTAGCAATTACTGGAGTTTTGCGTGGATTCGGAGTCAAGAAGGAGTCAAGGAATGCATGAAAAGTGGCTACACGGTCACCCAGTGTTCAACAACACAGGCGTGTTGATTACAGAAGATAAGCCCAGAAAGCAGAGCGAAACAGAATTAAACACGGCCTGGTCATGTCGATCTGCACAGCCGTGTTGGATGACAGCAGTCAGTTATCATGCGATCTGGAGCATTATTTGAAGTTATCTTTCAACACGTTTTTGTAAAAGAATTAAAAGGAGACGCCCTGAAGCACCTGAGGGGAGACCAGAGGCTGGAGATCTTGATTTTTCTTTCTTCTTCTTCTCTTCTTCTCTCTAAAAACTCTTAGATTAGTTTTCTTTTGATTTGGAACCTGCTGTTTGTGGAGAATTGTGTGCAACTTCAACACTACGGTTTATCTTTCTGATCTATCTTAATTTTTAGTTTATGATTATGATCTTATATATTGTTATCATGTTTTCTATTTCAATTATGTGTGAGTAATTGTCTTATCTGGGATTGAACAAGGTTCGGCTGTGGTTATGAATTAATGAACTGATTGTTGTTGTTATTGATTGTTCGATTTGCATTATTCAGTTACTAGTATCTAATTGCCTAGGGTTAATTCAATTGGCCACTGATTTAATTCTTTTAGGATGTTGATTTGAACTGAAAGGTTAGATTAACACCGGAAAATAGTAATTGAACAAGAATTAATTGATCACGAAAGTAGGTTAATATTCTTGAGAACATGAGGGATTAACAAGAACTTAATGTGTTTAATTTGGTTTAACACCATGAAAATAGGTTGTTAGGCTAAATTAGGCGCGACTTTTAGTCGTCGAAAGAGACTAATAGTTATCATAGGTTAGTCGTTCTTAATGCATTGAGAGATTCAGAGACTAATAGTTATCATAGGTTAGTCGTTCTTAATGCATTGAGAGATTCGATAACAATTGATTAATTTGTTGATTCAAACCCGAGTTGAAACCGAAGTTTAATCCTAGATCCTTTTAATTGAGTGAATTTGTCGTTGATACTAGCTAGCGTGTTTGATATTGATAATCAAAAATCATACTTTTTAACACAATTGGTTTAGATAGTCACAAAACAGTGAAAATCAGTAATTAACAACGAAGTCCCTGAGGATACGACCTTGCATCGCTACAATGATATCCGTGCACTTGCGGATTTGAGTGAACAAGTTTTTGGCGCCGTTGCCGGGGACTTCGGCATTGTTAATATTGACTTTTTCATTGTTTGACTAGACTAGACATTTTCTTTCATTTATTTTATTTTTATTTTTTTTTGTTTGACTTGTTTTTTTTTAGTGCAAGCACCCTTGTATGCCCAGATCCTTACGACTTGGAGAACCAATCGAGTGTGATCCAGAGATTGAAAGGACCTTGCGTCATATTAGGAAGAAGGCACGAGAAACAAAGGTCAATTTGAAAAGTAAAAACACCATGGGAGACCAAGAAAACCAATGCAATCAAGACCGATCCTTGAAGGAGTTTGCATCACCAACCACCCATAGCTCCCAATCTAGCATCTTGAAGCCTAATGTTGCTGCCAACAATTTTGAACTCAAGCCTTCACTCCTCTCCATGGTTCAGCAAAACCAATTTGGAGGCACTCCAACCGAAGACCCAAACCTCCACATCTCAATCTTTCTGGAGTATTGTGACACCTTGAAGATGAATGGAGTATCGGATGATGCAATCAAGCTAAGGTTGTTTCCCTTCTCACTAAGAGACAAGGCAAGGGCTTGGCTGCAATCACTTCCACCGGGCTCCATCACTACATGGGACCAACTCTTAGAAGCGTTCCTTGCTAAGTACTTCCCTCCGAGCAAAACAGCCCAATTGAGAAATCAGATAACAACCTTCACTCAAAAAGAAGGGGAGTCATTGTATGATGCATGGGAGAGGTACAAGGATCTTCTAAGGATGTGTCAACATCACGGGTTAGAGGATTGGCTCATAATTCACACTTTCTACAATGGTCTTCTCTACAACACAAGGATGACCGTGGATGCTGCAGCGGGTGGTGCATTGATGAACAAAAGTGTACGAGATGCAAAACAACTCATAGAGGATATGGCACAGAATCATTTCTAGTGGTCAGGTGAGCGCTCTTTACCCAAAAAGAGCGGGAGGTATGATGTAGATGCATTAGACCACATTGCTTCTAGAGTAGATGCTTTATTTCAAAAATTTGACAAGATGAGCATGAATTCAGTAGCATCTAACTCTACTAACTGTGAAATATGTGGTATCATTGGACATTCTGCTGTGGAATGTCAGATTGGAAACTCCCCTTCCCCTGATGCACCATTATCTGAACATGTTAATTATATGAATAATTTTAATCAGAAAGGGGACCCTTTTCTAATACATACAACCCGGGGTGGAGAAATCATCCTAATTTATCCTATAAAAATCCACCCCTGAACCCTATTCCTCACTCAAATTTTCGTCCTCCAGGTTTTCAAACCCCTAGACTCCCTTACCCTAGTCCCCAAAAGTCCAACTTAGAGAGCTTGATGGAAAATTTTGTGACATCCCAGAATAAACAGAATGAAGAATTTAGAAATCAGAATAGGATCATGAATGATGCTATTAGGAACCTAGCCTCTAAAGTTGAATCCTTAGCCACCCACAACAAAATGCTAGAGAATCAGGTCACTCAACTAGCCCAGCAATTTAACTCTTCTTCCAGACCTTCTGGGATGTTTCCTGGGCAACCTGAAACTAACCCAAAGGGATCTATCAATGCCATCACACTTAGGAGTGGAAAAGAGTTAGAAGGACCAATGATGAGGAATGACCATAGGGATGTGGGTAATGAGAGTGAGAAGTTGGTGACAAGTGAGAAAGAGCATATTGGTGAGAAAGGGGAGAATGTTGAGAGATATGTAGCACCTGCACCTTATAAGCCTCCACTACCCTTCCCTCAAAGGCAAGTTAAAGCTAAGTTGGAAAAACAGTTTGGGAAATTCATAGAAATCCTTAAAAAATTGCATATTAACATCCCATTTGTTGAAGCCATTTCCCAAATGCCATCCTATGCCAAATTCTTAAAGGAGATTCTATCAAATAAGAGGCGATTAGAGGAATATGAGACTGTAGCCTTGACCCAAGAGTGTAGTGACATCATACAAAATAAGCTACCACCTAAGCTTAAAGATCCTGGCTCATTTTCAATCCCTTGCACAATTGGTGATATGTCAATTAATCGTGCTCTATGTGATCTCGGTGCTAGTGTCAGTCTTATGCCATTGTCTATATGTAACAAGTTACAGATGGGAGACTTGAAGCCTACTACTATCTCCCTCCAATTGGCGGATCGATCGGTTAAACGTCCGGTAGGTATATTAGAGGATGTACCCATCCAGGTTGGTAAATTCTTTATTCCAGTTGATTTTGTTATTCTTGAAATGGAGGAGGATTCTCAAATCCCCATTATATTGGGAAGACCTTTCCTTGCTACCGCTGGAGCGATAATTGATGTGAAGAATGGAAAGCTCTCTCTCAATATAGGGGATGAAAAGGTGAATTTTGATTTGTTTTCTGCTATGAAGTTTCCACTAATTGATGATACTTGTTGCAGGATTGACACGATTGACATGGTGGTTAGAGAAGATTTTACCAGAGATATCTCAAGTGATCCACTTGAGAAATGTTTAGTAAAGAATGGGGTACCAGATGATGATGATCAGGAAATAACTTCCTATGTTACAATGCTTGATGAAAAGCCAACCTACACCAAAACCACCTACATCAAAGAACCTGATATAGTGGTCGAAATTGCAAGGGGGCTGAATGACCAGGTTGTGTCTGTAAACACAGCTGTGTCAAAAAGCAGCAGAAACAGCCCAGAACAGGTTTGTGAAGAGAAAACTGCACCTGGGAAGATGCTGAATAATGATTCCACACGGCCATGGTGTGTCCGTAGACACAGTCGTGTCAAAAAGCAGCAGAAGAAGTCTAGAACCAGTCCATCTCCACCAGTTGAAGTGGAACATAAGGCACATTGGGCTATCAAGAGCATTCATTTAGATTTGAAAGAATCAGGGGAACAGAGAAAGCTTCAACCAGATGAACTTGATGAATTGAGATTGGATGCGTATGAGAATGCCAAGATTTACAAAGAAAGAACAATGAAGTGGCATGATCAACATATCCTCCGTAAAGAGTTTACAGAAGGAGACTTGATACTTCTACTTAATTCCCGACTCAAGCTTTTTCCGGGCAAACTTTGTTCGAGGTGGTCTGGACCATTCCAAGTGTGCAATATATACCCATTTTGGACCATTCCAAGTGTGCAAGATATACCCATTTGGGGCTGTCGAAGTATGGAGTGAAGCCACGGGATCTTTCAAGGTCAATGGACAGCGATTAAAGCATTATTTCACAGGAACTCTGATCGAGAAGTTGGATACTTTTACCCTTCCCGATTCATCATCATTGTGAGCATTGAAGGGGTCGAGCTCATGACCATAAACAAGCGCTTCTTGGGAGGCAACCCAAGTTTTTCTTTCATTTTCTTTTTCTTTTTAGTGTTTTAATTATTAGTTTTTATGACATGTAATCAGGTTGCCGTGAACTGGTGTGTAGGTGAATGACAAAGGGAAAATAGGTAATAGAGAGTTCAAGGCTAAAGAGGCAGAAGAAAAAAAAAATTGAATACACAGTTTACACGGCTAGGCCGTGTCCACCAACACAGCCGTGTAGCAGTCGAGACAGTCTTCATCTCATTTCCAGAGTCTACCACACCCTGGGAAGGCATCCACCACACCCGTGGCCAAAGAAAAAAAAACTCCAGACTTCTTTGACCCCACCCCCCTTCCATCTTCTTTGACCCACCCTTTTTTTTTCTTTTCGTTCTTTGACCCCATCTCCCAAACCCATCTAATCTAACCGAACAAACACCTGACATCCCAATTAAATTCCCCACCTCTCAAACCACCTATCAATCCCAACCTCCCCAAAAAGCCATTAACTTCTCCTGACAACCCCACTCACTTCCCCACCTCCCCCCCAAAAAAAAACCCATTACCTTTCCCACAACCTAATTCACAGACTTCCCCATTGATTTCCCATACTTCTCCCACTCATCCTCCCTTTGATTTTCACCATTATAGTCATCCTTCCCACCTCTAACCCAAGGCCAGAAATGTTTCCAACACAAAGCTTACACGTCTGAAGTTCCGACGAGAGAAGGCCGTCCCGCAACTCCAACGATCTCCCATTCAGCCCCATGGCTCCAAAACGCAGAAAAAGCAATGACGCAACAACCTCCAACTCACCGACAGCTTTGAAACACCGGTCTACAAGGGGTAACCCTTCGCCTCCTTCCAATAACCCTGATGGTATTATCTTTGACCCTGCCTTCCAATAACCCTGATGGTATTATCTTTGACCCTGATCTTAATCAAGAGGTACGGTTTAATAATTTGGTCTCTAGGCGCATGACATCGACAAAATTTTGACCCTGATCTTAATCAAGAGGTACGGTTTAATAATTTGGTCTCTAGGCGCATGACATCGACAAAATTTATTGATAATGATGCATTGCTACAATTAGGACTGAAAGACAACATCTATAACTTGTTCAATGGCATTGGTTGGGGAGAATTTGTGACTTTGCATCGGCCTACATACAGGAGACTTACCCTTGAGTTCTTAAGTTCTTTAGTTGTTGATGCTAATGATAGCGTCGCAGGTGGTCGTCTGATATTTCGATTCTTTAACAAATGCTATGTGATCAGTATGGCTAAATTTAACCGACTTCTTAGCCTACCTGAACAGGGACTTAGAAAACCCTCGAGAGAATGAGATCCAGCCATCTTTTGGAGAGCAATAACCTGTGAGAGAGAGGGTAGAGCAAATGTTCGACCTTATGAACCTTCTAAAAATAAGGCTTCCCAAATTTATAACCCTGTTTTCCGTTATCTACAGCGGCTCATGGCAAACACCATCTTTGGTAGGGGAGAGAGCGTCAGTGTTTTTAGGGATACTGAAGTCTTCTTGTTATACTGTCTTGTCAATAGGATGGTGGTTGATGTGGGATACTTTTTAGCCAAACAATTAGAAAAAATCGGGAAATCTAGTGTAGGTGACATTGTTGTTGGAGGATTGATCACAATCCTCGCAGAACGTATGAAATTATCATTCACTCACCTACCAATTGAGAAGCCAATATCCCGATTGGATCTACCATATTGCACAGCTTTTGGTCTTATAACTAAAGTTGAAGACGAATATTGGTTAACTTTCTTTTAAGGCCCTATTTTCCCACTCCCTAATCATGATCTTACTAACACTAAAAGCCAGGAAAATTGGCAGCCACCTGAAGGTGACTTGCCTTACGAACCACCTCCTCAGGTACCCCTACAACAACCGGCTCCATACATTTCGCCCCACGATGCATCCACGTCTAGTGCGTCCCTCAATTGGACCAACAGGTTCAACATGTTGGAGAGGGGGCAGCAACACTTGAAAGACTCCATCCACTCATTACAACAAGATATGGGCACAGAATTCCATGCCATTAACGCGCGTCTGGATGGTTTTGGCACTACACTAGGGACGATGAACCAGTTGATACAAGATTTGCACCACTTTTCTCTACCTCATGATTATGCACCTCCACCGCCACCTCAATGAGCGGTGAGTCCCTCTTATCCCCCTTTCAATTACTCAAACACATTGAGGACAATGTGCAATTCAAGCATGGGGGAGTGCGTTGGTATTTCATGTCTTTTATGTATGTTTTGGTGTGTTTTTCACTGTGTTTTTGTGTGCTTGTTTTCTGTGATTGGGATATTTCATTTAGTTATTAAAAAAAAAGAGTACCACTGTTTGAAAACTCTTCTAACACGTGCATCATTTATTTCACATGCCCCATTGCTAAAAAAAAATCTTTGTTTCATGTTCAGTTGGTTAGGATGTTATCTGTTTGAGTTCCGCTTTGTCGATACTTAACTCTAAACATTGGAGAGATAGGAATGGATTTTGGCTCAACCCATCTAATTAAAACCTAAGCTTCTTTGGTGACTTGGAATACTTTTTGGTTACTGGAGAAACACTCGGCCTTGTAAAAAAAAGTCCTAAAGTCTGTTGCACCGAGTACCTGGCACCGCACCCTCAGAAGTATGGCTGTCACGTCAGTAGGTGTTAATTATGACGGGATTTTCAAAAAAAAATGAAAAAAAATTGAATAAAATGCAAGGAAACCGAGTGCTCCTTTGAGACCTTAAGTAGGAAGAGTATGACCAATTGTGATGAGATATGTGTCTGTCACGGGGAGTTTTGGGTAATCAAAAAAAAAAATTAACTTTGTCATGCCATTTCTTTTTCCAATGTTTATGAGTTGAGTCACTTGCACTGATGTACGTGAACGATTACAGATACATTTTCTTCAACTTTGAACTTGAAACAAGATTTCTGTTTTGACATTGGGTTGTGTGGAATAATGTTGCATGTGGACTTGAGAATAGTGGATACCTTTGTGCTTAATTTTTATTTTCTTTTAATCTGTACCCACTCATGTGTGTGTTTCCATCTGTTTTGCTTGAGGACAAGCAATAGTTCAAGCATGGGGGAGTTGATAAACATGAATATTATCTATATTTTGACTATGTTTCACCTACGGATTCATTGTTATTTGATGTATTTCCTTGCATTTTGGCCATGTTAAGCTCCCTAGTTCTTGTTTACTGCTCTATTTATATATTCTGAGGGGAGACCAGAGGCTGGAGATCTTGATTTTTCTTTCTTCTTCTTCTCTTCTTCTCTCTAAAAACTCTTAGATTAGTTTTCTTTTGATTTGGAACCTGCTGTTTGTGGAGAATTGTGTGCAACTTCAACACTACGGTTTATCTTTCTGATCTATCTCAATTTTTAGTTTATGATTATGATCTTATATATTGTTATCATGTTTTCTATTTCAATTATGTGTGAGTAATTGTCTTATCTGGGATTGAACAAGGTTCGGCTGTGGTTATGAATTAATGAACTGATTGTTGTTGTTATTGATTGTTCGATTTGCATTATTCAGTTACTAGTATCTAATTGCCTAGGGTTAATTCAATTGGCCACTGATTTAATTCTTTTAGGATGTTGATTTGAACTGAAAGGTTAGATTAACGCCTAATTTGGTTTAACACCATGAAAATAGGTTGTTAGGCTAAATTAGGCGCGACTTTTAGTCGTCAAAAGAGACTAATAGTTATCATAGGTTAGTCGTTCTTAATGCATTGAGAGATTCGATAACAATTGATTAATTTGTTGATTCAAACCCGAGTTGAAACCGAAGTTCAATCCTAGATCCTTTTAATTGAGTGAATTCGTCGTTGATACTAGCTAGCGTGTTTGATATTGATAATCAAAAATCATACTTTTTAACACAATTGGTTTAGATAGTCATAAAACAGTGAAAATCAGTAATTAACAACGAAGTCCCTGAGGATACGACCTTGCATCGCTACAACAATATCCGTGCACTTGCGGATTTGAGTGAACAACTCCATATGCGATCACGGTTGGAAGCTTGATGTACGCGATGGTATGTACGAGGCCGTATTTGTCACAGGCGGTGATCATGGTTTTGAGATACATGCACGATCTAGGAGTGGGTCGTTGGGACGCCGTGAGATGGATTTTGAGGTACATTAGAGGTACACTCAATGTTGGTTTAGTTTATGAGCGGGACACTACAGGTGGGCAGTTATGCATTGGTTATGTTGATTCGGATTATGCCGGGGATTTGGATAAGCGTCGGTCTATGATAGGGTATGTGTTTACTTTGACCCGTGCGTCGGTGTGTTAGAGATGCACCTTACAGTCGATGGTGGCTTTATCTACGATGGAGGCAGAGTATATGGCGATTACAGAGGCTGTGAAGGAGGCTATTTGGCTTCAAGGATTTTTGGAGGAACTTGGTACATCACAGCGGTCCATCACCATTCATTGTGATAGCATGAGTGCTATCTATTTGGCGAAGAATCAGGTTTTTCATACGAGGACGAAGCACATTGACGTTTGTTATCACTTCATTCGGGATGTTCTTCAAGATGGCGATGTGAAAATTGTGAAAGTCCACACAAAGGATAATCTGGCAGATATGCTCACTAAGGTGGTTCCGAGCAACAAGTTTGTTCATTACAGAAACTTTTGCATATTCGTAATTGTTGAGGCCGTAGGTGGCCATTTGGATGAACTACGGGCGGCTTGATCCCTTGGGAGAGGGGGTACGTAGGCAACCATGTTGGTGCAGCCGTGTTTGGAGAGATGACGCATTGGTGCTCTTTATTTGGTGTCAGCTCAGTTTTGGCAAATTTCGCCGAGGTGGAGAATTGTGAAGAAAACAAAAAAATCAGTTTTTCTGTCATAAGTCGACTCATGCACAGGCATATGTCGACTTATGGTAAGTCGACTTGTGTTTGTGTGCGAGTCGACTTACGTTCTGCTCTGGAGTTGTGATTTTTCGCTCTGTCAAGTTGACTTGTGATGCCTGTTAAGTCGACTTACGAACTGTTCTCCAGTTACTGTTTTTCTCTCTGCCAAGTCGACTTATGGCACCTGTTAAGTCGACTTATGACGGGTTTTTGCACAGTTTGGTTTCCTGTTTAGATTCTGTTTGGGTTTCTGTTTGTATATAAATAAGGACACGATTTTCTAGGGTAAAACAAACAGAGATTTGAGAGATTCAGAGAGGCTATTGAGCATTGTGAGAGAGAGATATTGTGAGCAAGTTGAGAGTTTTGGTTGAGGGTTAGTTTGAGTGATTTTGTATGATTGTTACCCTTTTAGACTCTCCTTGATTTAGTGGAATCTCCCCATCCTCTTCCTGTGGACGTAGGAAAATTTTCGAACCACGTATATCTCTGTGTTTGGTTGGATTTGTTGTATTTGGATTGGATTGTGCTTGTGTGTGGTTCATCTTCTTCTCCGTGATCGCAGACTCATTGTGTGTGCGCGTGCACGCTTCCGCATAGGCGCGCGACATATGATAGATATTTATCTTGAAGTTCTATCTTCTTTTTTCTTTCATCTTGAAATTAGAATATACTCACAAGGGTGACCTGAAATAATTGGCCCCAAGTACATAATTTGTTCTCTATTGTTATCAATTATTTTATTGTTCTCTATTACTGTCATCTGACTTTAAGCACAAACAATCCTCTTCTCATATATAAGTTAAGATTGACATTTGCGATTGTGAAGTTGGAAGCATTAGAGACTGACTAACCGGACAATAAGGCACTTGGTTGAGTAAGAGCGTGTTTGTTTGCATGCAAGTGAAAGATGAAAGTGAGAAAGTTACTTTTATTTAACAACTTAGGTGCTTGTTTACATGTAGGTGGTTATGAAAGTGAGATACAAGAAAGTTGTCACATAAGATTTAATACAACTCTGACTTCCCCTAAAAAATGGTTAAGTTACATGAAAGTGATAAAACGGTAACTAATTTTAATTAAATGATCTTAATATATTTTCTAATTTATCTTATTTTGCCACGTCATATTCACATTACACTTTCAACAATAATTTAAATTTTTTTAAACAAACACTATATTTCACTTTTTAACATGGATGTAAAAATCATTTGCAAAAAAGTTACATATTTTAAATTCACTTTCAAATCGCCAAACACCCCCTAAGCGTATGAAAACCAAAGATAATTGTTCTTAGCGCTTTATCCAATCCAAAGTTAAGCATGTTGTTTGTAAATCTAGATCCTTTGGAAGAACTTGTTTTTCAGCATTGGCAACCGAAGAAACGAGGTCCAGGTGTAGTCCGGGAGGTTGGCTCGCCTAGTGCACCGCCAGAGAGTGTGAGTGGTCGGACTGCCCAAGGTACCAAATCGACGGATTTTCTAAGTTTTTGAATCCTATTATGTGTAGGAATTATCCTTTTTTATATAGGTATGTTTGGAATATTATTTTTTAGACCTATAGCAAAGAGAAAGAGAGGGCAAAAGAAGGAATAAACAAAAGAAAAAAATAGATATATTTTTGTTTTTGTCAGAGAGATTTGAAACAGACCTCTTCTCGTGAGGGAGATAAGATACTGCGGAAGGGATCAACACCGTAATTATTTGACAAGGTGACAATTGGAATTCACAGATTCCGCTCTGATGACAACACAGACGTAGGCTAGTTCGGATAGAGAATAGGGTAGAGGAAGGGATGATTGAATTAAACTCGAAGGAAGGGAAAGAAAAGAAAAGCAGTGTGATGCAACTAATTGTGTTTGGATAGACAACTAGAAAATAGAGAGGCAAGGAGAGCGATGAAACTAATTTGTGTTTATTTAGAATATAAAATAGGAAGAGAAAAGAGCAATTCTACTTAAAATTTAGCCTCTTCCTTCTCCATCCACTTTAGGAGGGTTAACAAAGCGAGAAAAATTACTTCTTTTTAACTCTCCTAATCATTCCCCTCACTCAATAAAAAAATATAAACAAATACAACTTTAGAATGATTAATATTATCACCTCCTCAACTCCTCCCCTCCCCTCTTAAAAAAAAGCTATCCAAACCCACATCTCCTGCGTCTGGTTTGATTTCTTGTTTTCTTTTCAGTTGATCCCTACTGTTTCATTGCCATATATTGCGATCTGCATCTTTTGGTCGATAGCACCTGAATTCGGTCCTAACTAATTAGCACCAAAGCAGTACCTATTGAAGATCTAAATCCGTCAATTTTAAGTGATGTCCTGTTTGGCGTGCTTAATTTGTTTGGTTGTTATCATGTTGAACATTTTAGTTGCTAATTAATTAGATGCACCAACATGACAAAAACTCATAAAATTTGTCATCTAGTATTATTGCCATCGATGACAAAGACTCCACTATTATTATATTATTAGGATCTGAAGCCTCCTTTTGGAGTCCTAGGAAACACGAAGTCGCCGAGAGAGAAGATCACACAAACACAAAATTAACAGCACGAACACAAACAATGAATTTTACGTGGTTCGGCAAGTTGTCTACGTCCACGGGGCAAGAAGGGGATGTGTTTTACTATTAGAGAGAGAGAGTACAAATAGAGATTACAAATTTACTCAAAACTTATAAATTAATCTCTCAAAC